GAGCACGGCCGGAGTGGTCCCTGAGCATCGCGGGGTGTGGCTGAAAAGTGACTCTCTTTGAAGGGGGAATTTCCTATCAGAAACAGAAGCTGGAGCATCCCCCTTCCAGGAGACAACCACACTTCAACCTGGAGTTCCTGTCTTTTCCTGGATGGACACTCTCTCCCCTCCAGAATTCCCTTGGAACACATAATTCATATGCATTCTGTCTGTCTTTCTCATACACACACACACACACACACACACACACTCTCTCTCTCTCTCTCTCCTACCTCTCTCTCTTTCTGTGGCCCTAAATGAAAGTATTTCACTCCTCAGGGCCAGAGAGAGGTAGCACAGTGGCTCGGGTGTTTAATTTGCATGTGGCTAACTGGGGTTCAATCACCGGTACCCCTTATGGTATACCCCTAAGAACCACCAGGAGTGATCCTTGAGGATAGAGATAAGCCCTGAGCACTATCAGGTGTGACCCCCAAAGCCCAAAACAAAGCAGACCAACAACAACAATAAAAAACAGTATTTCAATCCTCAAAAACAAAAATGGATGCTTCTCTGACCCAACATGACTTCATTTTGTAAAAAAAAAAGCACATTATGAAAAGCTTCACACCCTCTTGGAATTGCTGGGAGCTGGCAGGAGTCACCGAAATCTGGAGAAGGGTAAAGATTTCCAGGAGTTGGTGACGGAATCTCCTCCTTCCCACGCCAGTAAACTCCTACTGACCCTGCAGAACCCAAACCCGGGTCGCCCGCCCTCGCTCACTGCTCTCCCTCCCCATCCCCGGCTTCTCCAGGATCCCGGGTCACACGCCCGGCACCACGCTCGTGATTCTGCAGTTCCAGAGTCTGGCCAGACGCCCCGAGATACAGAGAAAGGGCAGCCCGGGAGGAAGCGCCCAGTCCTGCCCAGGGACGGTACTGCATGTGTGCGTGTGTGCGTGCGTGTGTGTGTGTGTGTGTGCATGTGTGTATGTGCGCATGTGCGTGTGATGTGCAGAAGTGCGGTCAGCGGCCAGCTTCCCTGGGGAGACCCACCCAGCACGCGGGGAGCGGGGGCCTTAGTCAGCGCTCGCTCCCAGTCCCACTGCCAAAGCACCATAGAAACTGCACAAATGTTTACGGGCGCAGCAAGGAAACAAGATGCACCAAGAAAGGAAAAGAACACGACAGCGTCGGCGAGCCAGGCCCACCACAGCCACACCAGAGGCGGCCGCCAGACCCACCAGGCGCCCAAGGGGTCCGGAACCTTCTCCCGGGGGCCGAGACACTCCCCACCTCGAGCACCCCAGGGGAAGGGTGCTGGCCTCAGTAGGCCTTGGTGGGGCACGCTCTCAGTATTCGCTCATAGGCAGATTTCTGGGGGACACGGGGGGGCTTTATTACCCTCTGTAGATGGGGCCGTGGAGCAGGGACGTTCAGGACGTAAAGACGTCAAGGGAGACACAATGTGACTAGGCTCAGGCAGGGCTCTGGCCTGGGGTGGAACCCCAGGAGCAGGGGACCCCACGAGGTGAAGACAAGGGCGCCTGCCCAGGGAACAGCCCAGCACCGTGACTCAGGGCTGCGGGTTTCCACAGCTGCTCCGAGGGCCGCTTATGAACAGGCAACCGATTCTGAAACACGTGTGTGCCTTGACGAGCTCGCCGTCCCTCTAACGGGAACCAGCGGGTCAGGGTTTCCCGCAGAACTCAGCCCGCGCCTGGCCCAGGAACCAACCAGGGTCAAACTACCGGGACATCAAATTCGTTATTTCATAACTCTCTGCCTTTCTCCACGGAAGGTTCTAGAAACTCCGAGAGTCCGTCCTCCCACCCAAAGGGAGAGCCACAAATGCAGGGAAGAGGGGCTGGAAGAGCGAAGCCCCAGGGCGGGGGAGGCAGGCGCCAAGAAACCCCTTGTAAATTACTCAATTAGGGCCCGGCGTGGCCCAGAGCATCGATGAATCACTTTATTGCTGTAATCAATCCGTGTGGACAGCACCCGGGCCCCCTGGGACACGTGGGGCCACGCCCCGCTCGGAGGTGCGTAGAAGGGTCCCCTGCAGTGGAGTGTGTGTGTGTGGTGGGATCTTTGTTGCCCACAGGGTGCTGGGTTGGACGTGGGGGCCTGACTCCACCCACCACACCTGAGCTGCTGTCAGGTGGGCCTCAGCCTCGTGAAGGACACAGCCCGGGAGCCGGGATGTGCCTGTCACACATCAGGGTCCGTCCTACACTGAGAGACCCCGCCGGGATGGGAGCAGCGTGTCCCCCCACCCCCACCCCCCAAACAGGCAGGGGCGCATGGGCGGGCTCGGAACTCACATGGGAGCTGGCCAGGCGCAAAGGGTTAAAAAGCACACATCCGGGGTCAGGGCCACCGTGTGCCCTGTGCAGATGCCTCAGCTGGACCGAGCCTGGAACCCCACAAGACAGACGAGCCTTTTCTGGGGGGGCCTGGGGGAGTACTCCTGGGCAGTGCTCAGGAGGCCTGGGGGCCTTCCAGCCAGAACAGCGACCAGTGTCAGTCAGGCCCAGAGGGTGCCCGGGACTGAACCAGGTCTGGCTGCACACGCGGGACGCGCCCCGTCCCTCTGCCATCTCTCCAGTCCCAGTGGGACCCACTTAAACCAGCCACCGTGATAATCCCTTTAGTTATTTCCCTTAAATCCAGGCATCAACCTGGAACCTCCAGGTCTGCTCAGTGAGAGAGAGAGAGAGAGAGAGAGAGAGAGAGAGACGCGTCCCGGCGGCCGTGTCTCCCTGCTTCCCTTTGTACTCGAAACACGTCTGACACAGTGACTGTGGCCCAGCCCGGGAGGGCGCGCGGCGAGTATCACGTTTCAGCTTCACACGGCTGCGCTGCGGTTCCGAGATGCCAAAAGGCCTCCCTCCGAGTGGACATCTGATGCCGACCGTTACGGCACTTGGTGGCCAAGCCTCGTCACCCTGCGGAGGGGTCTCTCCCAGCCCCTGCCGAGTGCTAGTGGCGACCCGCACCGCTGTTGTCACTGCAGCATTTTGGGGGTGGGGGCAGGGGGCTGCTGGGATTTCGGCACTCATTTCCGGCGGGGCTGGGGGGAGCCATCTCTGGGCTGGCCAGTCACACGGCAGCTAGCTCCGTGCAATTGCTCTGGCTCTGTGCTCTCTCCCATTTCACTCCCCAAACACGAATAATCCCCGAGACCACATCCCCCTCCCACCCCCCCAACCCCCGCCAGACCTGTCTGCCACAGAGCAGCCTGGCAGCCCTCGGACCCAGGTGGTCTCTGATCCCCACCTGAGGCTCCCCCCACCGACCCCCCCGGCCCCTCAAGCCTCCAGTCTGGACTAGAAAGCACATCAGGTCACATCGGTGATCCCAACTCTGTCCCGGCAGCAAAACCAGCCACCAGGACCGGCCGCGCACCGCCCTGAACCTCTGTCACCGACACTTCCGGCCAAGGCAGGCCACGAGATGCTCGGGTGTGCGGTCCCCTGTACTCGGCCGACAGGGAGACCCCGTGTGTGCTCGCCGGGGGCTCAGGGGCCCCCATCACGTCTCCATGGGAGACCCCAGGGCCGGGCCACCAGGGCCGAGGCACGCCTGGCACTGGTCCCCTCTGCAATCCGCCAGCCTGCCGGCCGGGAGACCACCCAAACACTGCTGCCTCTCCCCGTCGGGGTGCACGGCGAAGGCTGGCAAAGCCGGTGCCCCGCTGCCCCTCCCCCACGAGCCTGTCTGGAGCCCAGGCGGCTAATTACTATTTTCTCCCGAGCCCCTGAGAACAAAGATGCAAGCCTGCTATTAGGCCGGACTCTCCCATCGGAACTCCGGGCCCGCAGACAACAGCGGAGGCCACTCGGCCGGGCCAACTGCTTTGCTTTCCCAGAGGAAACTCCGGCGCCCTTTGCCACGGGAAGAGCCGGCAGGAAGCGGGCGGGATCGCGGCTGGAGTCGCGCCCGCTGCCCTCCCAACCAACCGAGAATTCCAACACGAGGTGGCGGAGAGTGGCCGAGGCCGGTGCCAGCCTGTGATGCCCGTCACTCCCCCTTGGCACAGAAATCCCGATTCCTAACACATCGGCACCTTCCACGGGCTGCGTCGGGTCCTCGCTCACACTCCGAGGGGCTCAGGAAGGAGCCTGTTGGAAGTGGACAGCACCGGTCGGCAACGGACCCTCCAAGCCAGCGATGGCGCCCACTGACAGACACCCCGGGTGTCCGTTAACTGGGACATCCCCGCACCTCTCCCATTTCACCTCCCCAAACACGAATCCCCAAACACGAAGCCCACTGGAGACCCCTCTCTCCAGGGTGGAGAGTCAACAGGCCAAACCGCTCGCCAAAACCCCACCCTGCAGGCCTGCAATCTGCTCCCTCCAGCTCTTGGGGATGGACAGAGGGGCCCTGACATGTCAGCACCAAAATGCAGGCAGAGACAGGGGCTGGAGTCTCCGCCGTTTTTTCCGGAGGACTGTGATGCCCCCCAGATGCTTTGGGGAGAAGGCATCCATCCGCCAGTCCAGTCTGACGGCGGAGCCGCCTCCAAGGGGAGGCTGCGGGGAGGGGCAGGCCCTGAGCCGCTGACCCGGGGTGCAAGGGCGCAGCGTCAGGGTGGCGGGCCTCCCAGACGATGGGGGACGCCTGGCTGGGCGGTGGGCAAACCCTCTTGAAATGAGGCTCCTGGGGGGGCGGGGAGCGGCCAAATCCAACCCCCCTCCCAGGCCTCCGCACGGCTCACAGTGGGGAGGAGAGAAGCCGCCCCTGGTGAGGCGCCTGTGCCCGAGCAGCACCAGCTGCGCCCGAGCCGCGGCCAAGCCCGCTCCCGGGGACACCCGCGGGCAGCTGTCATGCCACGGTGCGCAGAGAGGCCCAGCGGCCGGCCAAGGCCAAGGGCATCTGCCTCCGGACACGCCCCGCCAGAAACGTGCTCAGACCGGGGCCGGGGCGGCTCGGGAGGGCGGCCCCCTCCAGCCGCCTGGGCGCACGCACCCGCCCGGCCCGGCCCTGCCCTGCCCGGCCCGGCCCGCCGTGCCCACCTCTGCGCGGCGACCCGTCGATGCTCTCGGCGCTGGACGAGTGCGCGTCGGCCCCGGCCGGGGGTCGGCGCAGGCTGCTGAAGTAGCCGCGGGGCCGCGAGCCGGGGCCCCGGGGCCCGGGCCCGCCGGGCGCGCCGTCCCTGCGCGCGAAGATGCCGCTGAGGAAGCGCAGCAGCCGGTGCTCGGACGCGGCGCGCGCGCGCTCCAGCCGCTGCAGGTCGCTGTTGTCCAGCGTGCGGTTCCTGGCCTGGCCGCGCTCCCAGCGCTCCAGCTCCGAGAGCGCCGGGCTCTGGCTCAGCACCTCGCCCACGTCCAGGGTGTTGCGCTTGTCCGCGGGGCCCGCGGGGTCGGCCCCGGGCTCCCCGGGCTCCGGCTCGGCCGCGCGCCAGGCCGGGGCCGGGGCCGGGTCCGAGGGCGCGCGCGGCCCGCGCCCCAGCCGGGCGCTCCGGCTGCGGCGCAGCGGGGCCTCCCCGTCGGGGCCGCCCGGCCGCTCGGGCGCGGGTTCGGGGCTGCGCGCGCGCGGCCGCAGGCGGCCCAGCTCCAGGTGGCCGGTGCTGCGCGCGCGGAAGGCGCGCGGGCCGTGGCCGTCTCCGCCGCCCTGGGCGCGCGCGGGGTCCCCGGGCCGCGGCGCGGGCGCGTCGGGGGAGCGCGCGGGCCGGCGGGCCGGGCGCGGCGCGGCCAGCGGCTCCTGGCTGACCATGGTCACGGAGATGCGGTAGACCGTCCTGCGGGGCGCCGTGCCGCGCTGCATGTCGGCGGCGCCGGCCGGCGGGTCCGTGCCGGCGGGGGCCGCGGGCGCGCGGGGCGCGGGGCCATGGGCCGGCTCAGGCGCGGGGCGGCCGCCGGCGCGGGCAGGTGCGGCCGCGGCGCGCGGGGCCCGGGCGGGGCGGCGGCGGCGGCGCCCGGCGGCTCATTGTCTGCGCGCGCGCGCGGGCCCCGGTGGCCGCGGGCCGGGCCCCTCTGGGCGCTCGCCGGGCCGGGCCTCGCGGGCAGCTGCGCCGGCCCGGCCGGGGGGCGGTTTCCGCGGGGAGCGCGCGGCGGCCGGGCCGGGGCGGGCCGGGGCGGGGCGGCGCGGGGCGGCGCGGGGCGGGGCGGGCCGGGGGCCGGGGCGGGATCCGCGCGCGCCCCGCACCGAGGCCCCGGGAGCGCGGCGCGGCGCGGCGGGGGCGAGCGGGAGCGCCCGCCGGGCGCGGCCCAAGCGCCGGGCTGGATCGGCGGCGCGCGCGGAGCGGAGCGGAGCCTCGGCGGGGAGGGGGCCCGCCCACCGCGGGGACGCGACCCCTCGAGCCGGGGCTGGGGGACGCCCCGCCCCGAACGCGGCCACCGGCCACCTGCGGCGGGCCGATCCCACCGCCTTCGCTCGGCGATCCGTTAGCAACCCAGGGGTAGGGGTGCGCGCGGGGGTGCGGGGGGCGGGGGGCGGGGGCAGCTGCTGCAACCAGGCCCAGGTGCGCGGCTGCAGGAACAAAGCGCAGCCCGCAGCCGGCCCTCCCCACCGGCAGGTGCTGGCCGCCCGCACGCGCCCTGGCAGGAGGGCGCCCTCCCCGCGCAGCGACAGCACCAGGCCCCGGCGCCTCCTCCCTGCCTCGTCCCCGCGGGAGGCTGCAAAGGGAGCAGCCGGCCCGGTGGTCTCCTCGGCCTGCGGGACCCACAGCGGGACCCTGGCCCGGGTACTGAGCCCTCCGGCGGCGCCCGTGTGCCACCCTGGTTTCTATGGCTTTTCCTTGCGAGGGGAGGGGCTCCCTGCCCAGGTTCCCCCAAGCACCCACCGGGCCCCTCCTTCGGAGCACTGTTTGGCCGGGCTGCACTGCAGTGCTCCATGTGCAGAGGAAGGTTGCCACCTGCTTCTCTGGAGGGGCGGTAGGACAAGGCGGGGACCGCGCCACAGGTGACTCCGTGTGCCTCAAACGGGCACTAATAGGGCAGGCGGTCTCTAGGGAAGGGGGCTGACCTGGGCGCCAAGGCTGCTTACAAGCACCCCTTTCTTCCGGGGTCCCTCCTGGCAGTGTTCAGGGGGCCCTGCAGTGCTAGCAAGGTGCTCCAGCACACCAAGCCACCTCCCCTGCTGTGTCGGTTCCCGGACTCAGAACACACCCGGAGAGGCTCAGGGATCCCTCCTGGCTCTGTGCTCAGGACTCACTCCTGGCTCTGTGCTTCGGACTAACTCCCAGCTCTGTGCTCAGGGCTGACTCCCGGCTCTGTACTCAGGGCTGACTCCTGGCTCTGTGCTCAGGGATCTCTCTTGGCTCTGTGCTCAGGGTTGACTCTGAGCTCTGTTCCCAGGGCTCACTCCCGGCTCTGTGCTCAGGGCCGACTCCCGGCTCTGTGCTCAGGGGAACATATGGGAAGCCAGGGATCGAAGCTGGGTCAGCCGTGTGCAAGCAAGCACCCTCCCCGCTGTATCATCCCTCTGGCCCCTTCTTTAATCCGTTCATCTCTGCAGGCCCCCTGGTGCCCTCTGCACTTGCAGGCAGGCAGGCAGGATGAGAGCTAAGGCCGCTCAGGAAGGTGACGGCAGCAAATCTGGGCTTACCTCCCTCCCAGGGAAATGATACAACCGTGGGAGGCTGAGCCAGCGCCGTTAACATTCTTAACGCCACGGCAGAACGCTGGAGGCCGCTCCGGGCAGGAACCACGGTCTGAGCCCGTGAGGACGGCCACATGGGAGCCAGCACCTGCCTGAACCCCCGGGGGCCCCTCGGGGACACACACAGGTTTTGGTTTTCGCTTGGGGACCACACCCAGCGATGCTCAGGGCTCACTCCTGGCTCTGTGCCCCAGGGTCACTCCCAAGGGTGCTCGGGGGACCCTATGGGGTGCTGGGGATCGAACCTGGACAGGCTGCCTGCCAGGGGACCGCTCTACCCGCTGGGCTATCGCTGCGGTCCCAGGACACAGATTCTGGGGTGCTGGTGTATCCGCAGGTTCGGGCCCTCGGGTGGGAGAGGCTGAGTGGGGAGAAATTCTGCATGGGAGGGAGGGAGGGGTGCAGTGGTGTGGGGGGTGGGTGTGCAAGGGTTAGAGAATGTGGGGGAGGGACAGTGTGTGTGTGTGTATCTGGGGGTGTGGAGGCTGGGCGGACAGGGAGTGAGGGGGTGTGGGCAGGACTATGGGGGTACTGGGAGGCCCCGGGGCTGTGCTTGTGGGGGTGCGTGGGGCCGGCTTGTGTGGGTGCTGGGCGCTGTGCCTTCTCCCAGCGTAGCAGGGCGGGGACTGGCATGGGGCCAGGAGCAGCCCCGCGCCCTGGCATCCGTCATGCCCCCAGGACCCTCACTCCAGTGTGACGTGCTCTGAGCAGGCCATGGGGCGGGGGTGTCCCCGTGTCCTCCTGCAAAGGTGGGGTCCCAGGAGGTGGCCTGGCCAGTCTTGGGGGTGCGGGCGGGGCTTTCCCCAGACCTCACAGGGGTGCTGGGCCCATCCCGGGATACTCGGCCATGCCCCTTCCCCCGAGTGTCACCGCGTGCTCTGCGGAGTGTGAGGTGACAAATGTGATGCAGGCACTGAGCTCCACATCACTGAGTACAAACTCTCACCTTGACTAGTTCCATTCCCCCGTGAGGTGAGAGGTGGGAATGGTGAGAGGCGGGCGCGTGAGGGGGTCCGGGGGAGGGGGGACTTGTGAAAAGGTGGCACCAAGACCTTCCCCTCTCTGGCCTGCTCCCCACCCAGCCGTGGCCACCAGCGCCCCGCCACACGGGGGAGGGACCCAGCCCCGCTCACGGCCCTGGGACCTGACCACAGGCCAGCATGGGTGGCGTCATCCCCGCCCCCCCACGAGACCCACCGCCCAGTCAGAGACCCTCGTGCTAGTGAGCGGTGGGCGGGGAGCTCGGGGAATCCTCCAGCCGGAGTCCAGGCCGGGCTTTGCGCCGGGCTGGGGAGGGCGGGGTGAGGGAGGGCCGCAGAAGATTCCATCTCGGCCACCTAGTGACCCAGAATCCCCCTGACACCGAAGGAGGGAGCTGCTGGGGGCCCCCCTGGCTGCAGGCCAGGGCTCATGGGCTCCCGGGGAGGCACTTGGGGGGGCCCCCACCCGGTCCACTGCTCCCTGCACGGCCCCCGGGCCCGGGCGGGCGGCCCAGGGCAAAGCGCGTCTCCCGACCAGGCAGGGAACATGGGCTCTCCCGGCCGGCTGGACAGCGGGCAGAACCTGTCACCCCAGGGCCCCACTGAGCTGGCCCCTGCCTGTGGACGTCCCCCCAGACGGTCCCGCGCAGCCGCCTTCCCGCCATCCAATGTGACTGTGAAGCCACTGGAGGACGGGGCGGGAGGGGGAGCCCGTCCCCCCGCACCCCTGCGCCAACCCCCAGCAGCAGCCGCAGCTCTGAGGTCATTCCCAGCTGCCCGCGCCCTGGAGAAAGCCCCCCGCCCCGGACCCACCACAGGATGGGGCTACACTCGCCCAGTGGGGAACCCCCCAGCCCTCGTGGGGCGCCCAGCCTGCCCACGCCGTCCATTCCCCCTGCACGTCCCTTTCGGTGGAGGTCAGGCGGGCAGAAGCGGGGTGCGGGGGCTCGTGGAGGCCGCTCGGACCCCTCTCCCAGGTGTGTGAGCAGGAGAATGACCGGGAGCAGCAGCTGACGACAGGGTCAGCGTGTGCACCCGGGCAGTGGGCTGGAGCCCAGCCCCGCACACTGTCACTTCTCCTGCAGGGTGGACACACGTGCACGGGGCCCCACACAGGTCCTGGGGCCCCTGGGCTGTTCTGAGCCTGCAGCCCTCCCCAGCTTCCTGCTCCACTCTGTTCCCAACACAGAAGTCTCTAGAAAAGGTGGAACTGGCTTCCAGCAATCCTCCCAGGTGGACGGCCCAGGACAACGAGCCGGGCTGGGGTGAGGGAAGAGAGAAGCAGGAGTGACCGGGCACCCAGCAGGGAAGGGACCAGGATGGGAGGGGGGGCGGAGTAGTCCCTTCCTCCAAGCCCGCTGCCCGCCCCCCACAGCCCTCACACCCATGGAACCAGGGGACCCCCTGCAGCTGCTGAGGCAGGAGGCAGACTCGAGACCACAGTGGAACGGGCAGCCCGTGATGGGGCAGTGAGAATATCCAGAGTCCTAGGTGCCAGCCCCGGCAGGCGGATCCCATCCAAGTGTGGAAAGGCCACCCCAGGGGTCAGGCCCCAGCGGCTCAAGACAGAGCGACTGGCCACTGCGTGAGCTGCCGCATTAGGCACTGGCCGCCACGTGGGTGGTTCCCAGGATGGTCCATTTCAGCCGCCCCCGCAGCTCTGCCCACCCCCTCGGGGGCTCAGGACCCGGGATGGTCAGTCACTGGCCACTTGCCACGCAGCGGCGTCCTGGAGAAGACCCCCCACCAGGACCTCACGGGAGAGGGCGAGCCGTGGC